GAAATTTTAAAAGGTAATTTCTCTACCCATCTTCTGGCATTCAAGAAGCAGCCTTTTGTTAATCAGCTGCGCACAAACCAAGCCACTTGTCATTTGTGCAAAATCAAGCGTCCCACCAAAGTTTTGGGTAAGTAAGGGAATTTTTTCAAGGCGTTCGTTAAAAGAGTAAAGAACACTGCAATTGGTTGGTGCGCTACGGACTGTGGGATTAAATCCCAAAACTGCACAAACATGTTGTTTTGAGAATACAAAATTTCACAAGCATCAAAGGTTTTGGCAAAAATGACTCGACATTGGTGTTGAGTCTTGACAAGCAAAGCTTGGGAACTGATTTGATGATTTTCTGTGGTTCGAGTTGGGTTTTTATAGCCAGTTCTCTAATTGGCAATCGGCTGAATTTTGTAACGGTTGACCTTCTCTAGGGTTTGGGAATTAGGTGGTGCATAAATCATTAGATTTATTTGGGGTTCTTGTTAGTTTAATGGCGTCTTCGGAGGTGATTTTTCTTGCTCCTTCAATTTTTTCCAAAAATATTTTTCAGGAAAAATCTTTTCTCAAAATTCGGTGCCTTCTTCCCTCAGGGCATCTGGGGTGGCCCTTTTGTCGTATGTGGGTGACAAACAGAGGGTCAGATTAGCCAAAAGAGAGTAATTAATAAAGTCATGGCTGTAAAACCCACCTTGGGTTGACAACCCAGGGTGTGTATGGTTTCCGCCATTTGGTGGTGCTGTTTTGACAGCATAAAAAAACGCAGCAAGGAAATGAATCCCTGCTGTTCTGCAAAATCAGTATCTTAAATTTCAGTTCCCCTTTTTGGTCTCGTTGCCTTTTGATGTTGCAGCAAAGTTATTGACGTCACAGATTTTGACAATTGCGTCGGCTCCCACACACAAGCTGCTGAAAAGTAATTTTCTTTTGTTGATTTTTTTTCATCTCTTGCTGATTGGGTTCCTTGTTTCTCACGTCATTGCAAATATTTTCCTAAATTTTTTTAATTGTGAGGCAGCTTTTGTAATAAGTGATGGTTGTGTCTATGCAAATCAACTCTCTGATTTTATGTACAAAAAAGGCAACTTTCAAAATTAATTTAATGAATTGTTACCGTAGTGAGTTTTTGAAGGCATCAAAGCTGTTCTGCTTTTTTGGTCTTGGATTGTGGAAAAGATCATGCAGTTTTTTTCTTCTTTCAAAGCCTCTCTCAAACGGCTTACAATTCCGTGGCATCGGTTGTATAAGGGCAAACTCTTGGAGGTTGCCTCTCTCTCTATCTATCTATCCCATTGTAATTACAGTTCTGAGCAAAAGAGGCGTTTTGGCTGGAAACTTGGGATGAGCCATTATTGCTGGCCGACGGGGTTCGAAGAAGGAATTTCCCCAATTTCCGCGCAGGATTTTTGTTTTTTTGTTTTACTTTCTTGCCCTGGGGGTGAGAAACGCTTCATTTTTTCCACTGCTTCAAGCGTGAAGTCAGTTGAGGAAAAGGAAGCAAAATAATAATATCCAAACAAATGAGGCCCAGGCGAAGAGCAAGGCAGCAGAAACCCAACGTTTTTTATTGATATGAGCAGGGCTCTCAATTGACGCGCGGTGAACTTCAAAAGCGGCCCCGAAATTCGGAAATTTCATTATAATACGGAAGGAAAACTTACTAGCTCGTCAGTCAGGGTTGTTTATTTTTTTTCAAGATTTTTTTTGGTGCCCCCTTCGAGCATTTTTATATCCCCGAAGCTTTCCCCATTCTGTGATTTGGTTGATCATTTTTATTGGCCTGCGCTAGGCTCTTTTACACCTTTAGTGGTTTGGATACGGTTCATGTTTCCTGGACGGATCTCGTGGGCTGAATTTCGTTTTATTCCTTTATTTTTTGTGGGCATGATTCGAAATAGGGCTTGTCTGTTGCTGTTCCCCTCTGTCAAGACTCGGCCAAACGAGGAGTTCCTTGCAATTTCTTCTTCGTAGCGAGCGGAACTAAGAGAAGGTTGATGTGATTAGTTCCGATTTTTTTGACACAGTTCGTGTTTCTGCTGTCAATAGCTTCACGAGGTTTTCAAAAATCAGGGACCGCGAGATGAAATTTTGGGATCTCTAAAAGTTTCTTAGAAGACAGACACCACTTATATACGAGTAAGAGGGATCCTCATAAGTTTCGTTTTTTTTTTGGTTCGGCGTAAATTAATTTAATTTGGAGCAGAATACCTGTGTGAGCGAATTGATGAAGAAAACGTGGAAATGAACTCGAAATAATCAAATTTTAAACTTTCTCGTAAAATCGGAAGTACGTTGAGCGCCAAAACTTAGATCGTTTTTCATACTAACAGTGGAAAATCTTATCCAATGGTTCTTTGTGGTGAAAAAAATTTGCCGAGACTCTGCGGGACAGCAGTACACATAATAACTCATTTA